AGGTCTGCACAGCCCCAGCCACAGCCTGCAGTAGTAACCTACCCTGCCCCACACAGATCCAGGGGGCACATGTCCCCCATGCCCTCCCAGGGTGTGCACAGTGGCAGCCTGGACAAGCCGTGGTTCTGTCCTGCGCCCACCCCACCTGGGCAGTGCCTGCTCCAGCCCCACACCCTCCCTCACTGCAAGTGCCTTGATTTGCTCCCCCATGCCCCTTCCCTCCCTCCTCCCCTTCCACCACAACAGACTTACTACCTGCGTACAACTCTCCAAGCCAGGCTGTGCTCCTCGCTATCTATGTGCTGTGCTGCAGCTGCACACATGCACACAGCATTTATCAGCCATGTCAGGCCAGTTTCCAATACAGTCAATTTTCTTTATATTGGTGCCCACCCAATATTGGACCGATGTATCGGTGCACCTCTACCTGTCGCTACAGATACTAAACTTGATGCTCCGTAATTATGGTGCATTTATGAATGTGTAGACACACCCACTATAACCCAGCCACTAGAGACATTTATTCCTTTCTCCCTTGCTTTAGCTCTCCATATTTGTCATTTAGCCAAACTATCCATATTAATAACTCCTATAAAAGATAGAAGATTGCCTTTATTGGCTGTGTAAAGGACAAAGCCCGCCTCTGGCGCTATAAAGAAGGTTAAATTATAAAATACTTACAATTAAAATATAACACCATCACCTTTGCTGGCCAAGTTTTAAAAGTGGTTTCATCTTGATCTAATTTTGAGTGCTGTGACTAGGATTCTGATTTAAATGGTGGTAACTGAGCAGCTAGAAATTTAGCCTTTTAATTTTGCAGATAAAAAAACACCATGTGGAATGTAAAACTGCAATATCCTAATTGCTTTTTTTGGTTTCTATTCTTTTTTGCAGAGAACAACTGAAAGTTTCATTTTTTAAATGAAAATGAAAAATGTTTGCACGCAGCCATAGAACTCATGTTCCAACCTGCCCTGCAAATTAAAAATGGGCCAACTTAAAAAATAAATAAATAAAAAAAATCAGCAAGTAACACAGAAAATATTGCTTGGGGTCGAATGCAGCTCAATGGACCGATAGAGTATCTGACCTTCCAACAGCCAGTTTCACACCCCTTGGTCTAATGTTAAGCCACTATTAACATTGCTTCCGGCCACACTTCTGTAATGAAAAGAAGCTGAGCTAGTCGAATTCTTAACTGCTCACTGTTGTTATCTGAATGCTTTACAATGCAGATGCCTAAATGAATTAAGTCCATATTACTTACCAGCCTTTTTTCCTTGCAGATCTTGTGAAATATGGGCATGAAGACACAGGAACAGCAAGGTCCCTTTTCCTTAAAATTAAGGAGTAAAAATTTTTTTAGTTCCAGTTTATGAAAACTCTATATGGAGAGAGATATCTACAAAAAAAGCATAAAGAGAAAAAGGCTCTGAATTTGCTACTAACATTAGTAAAAACAAGTTTGATATGTTCCTAAAATGTATTTTGCACGTGGCTTTTCATCCAATATCATTTGTATCTTTCCTTCTTTTCTTTTGAAAAGTTCTGAACAGCATCGACTCCAGATATTGAAAAGGAGAAAGATGTCTTTTTCAGCATGAAAAGTCTACTCCAAAATATGGTCCGCTAGAGTTCCATATCTCAGTATCTAGCATGATTTTGCAATACCGACTAGGTATAGGCCGGTTCCAAAGGAAATGTGGCTTGTCGTGACAACCTTAAGAAGGCCCCTCCATGGAATTTTTTTGTGATAAGCATATGTTTTACTCTCACGACTAATAAGAGTGCACAAATTTAGATGAAAGTAGAATGTGACCTCAGTCTTTCACTCTTATATGCACATCTGCATATGCATACTCAACTTTCACAACTGCCAATACATTGCAAACAAAACAAAAGCACTATGCATTTTCTTCCTCATGAGGTTACCATGTGACCCTCATTCTCTTGTTATTCTGGAAGCAAAACACAATTACAAGTAGCAGTTTCTATTATGAACATTTTAGCCAGAAAAAAGAGAAAGGAAAATCATCTGTGTGTCTAAAGTAAATAGAGAAGGTTGCGAAAAAATTAGTTCTACCTTACATTTTTGGAAAAAGCTGTATTCTTTACTACTGTAGCAATATTAACTCTTCAACTAATCATTGTAGAACACACTACTAGAGAGTTAGCTTTTTTAATTTCAAAATTTGCCAGATTCTGATAGCAGAACAGCATCATCACTGGTAAGATGAGAGCACTTCAGTCAGACCGCTGTCACCTGAATAGTAGCTGCCAAGTACTACAAGGGAGGGTTTGCACCTCCGTATCTACTTCTGAAAATCCTTCTCAGAGGCTTTAGGCTTCAATTCTGTTTCCACTGATTTCCTGTCTGTCAGCAAGTCCAGGTCTATTCTGAATAAGGATTATCCATCTTTCAACTGGGTTGCGGATAGTTTCAGTCAACTACCTTCCAATGGGAACTGTCCTACTAACTCATTAGGGGCTTCTTTTTAAAACCCATCCTATATAACTGTAGGGAACTGAAATGAAACAAATATAACTGCAGTTTATGCAAAAGGCTTACTGTTCAACCTCTAGACAATGCATGATCTTTCTCTTGACTGGACTCTTTCTGGTTAACACAGTTGCATGGTGATGCTGTTCAAGGGGAGCACACCGTGAATTGGGATCTTCTTTGTCTTCACATTTTCTGTCTTTCCCCTTGTTAACACGATCCTCTGCGGACATCTTAGAATCCTTTACAGTAGTCTTAGATGGTGGCTGGGACAAAAAATAGCAATTAAAGCATAAAATAGTAACCCCTGGCATAAGTGACAGTGTGTAGCACGCAAAAGAATTTTGCTTGGCATGCATGCCTTGGGAAAAGCCAGGGCTGTTCTGCCACAACAAGGATTGGGCTCCTCTGCTACCTGCCTCTGGCATGCCAACACCTTACAAGTTAAGGTTGCAGGTATTTTTGACATTGCCTGAAAACATTGCTGACCCCTGAACTAAAGCTATTTGGTCTTCAAATGGGGAAAAAAGATAACAAGTGGTTCCTCAGATACTTTTCCCTGCGGTAACTTTTAAAGACACCCAGGTCTCAATCTTTTACCACAACCATACTAGCTATGAGATTTACTTTGCCTGGCTAATCAAGGTTTTTAAAAAACAATTCTGTCTTGAAAGTGGCAGCGTATATTAAAAATAGTTTTCTCAGTCCCCAATTTACTTTAATTAAGCTATTTGATCAATTAATTTAACTTCAGAACACTTACATAAAGCAATTTGATGGAGGACTGTCAGAAAACTCTCACAGGAAACCACTAAACTTAAGTTGTACAAGTTTTAAACTATGACTTTCAAAATTAAAACTTCTTTGCTTTCAGATTCATAAATTAAGTTAATCAAAGACAACATTTATGCTTCTGAATGTAAATGCAAAAGATCTCAACTGTAATTACGATCATAACGTCTTAAGTGTTATACCCTTAATTATCAAGCACTGTACCTGAACTGGTTCCACTCCTGAGGCATCTTGAGCTGCACTGCTACAGCTGACATATCTTATGACACTAATTATTCCCTGAATAGCAATGCGCCTGTGCTCCCTGTAGTGCAAGTCTTCAAGCTCCCTCTCCATTTCACTTATGGTTTTCAAGACTGATTCAACTGAAAAAAAGCAATTCCCACAAACTTAACATTTTTAAAGAAATACAGTCCCACCAAAATGTATGAATGCTGGACACATACAAGAACATTGAAAAGATATTGTTGCTAAACTTAAAATGTCAAATTGATCCACAATTGAACTTTGGAGGAATTTCCCCTTCCATATCATTTGCAGACTACTTGAAGACCAAACCTTTTGAGTCTGCTCAGAATTAATATCAAGTAAATACATCATTATAGGCAAGTAAGTTTCCATTTAATATGCTGTGCTGAATTTTATTTAACATCATTGCACTTTATGTTCTTCAGTATGATAAGTTTTTTGAGTTTGAAGATGGAGTAGAACAGAACATCTACAGTGCAAACGCATAAGGACAGATTCACAATCAGTGTGAACCGTTATAGATCCACTGTAGTTAACATATCTATAACAATTTACATCAGTAGAAGGTCTGGTCTATCAATAGCAGCTATGGAATCAATTTTTAAGATGCATTTGTGTAACAATTAACATAATGCATTTCCTGACTAAATGCTCTAGAAGGAGGATCCGAAAGAAAGTGGGCATTCACATATAGGGGGTGTTTATACCTTTATTTATATTTCTATTGTTTTGACAGTATTCCAGAAAGGTATTTGGCAATGGTGGAAAAGGGTAATATCCACCAATGACAGTTTTCTTCATGTGATCATCTTCGTTTTGAGTGTTAATCCACCTAATAAAGCTTTTCACTTTGGTATCCTTGGTATATGGTTGACCTTTGTGCCACCCTATTAAAACAAGAGATTTAGGAATTAAAATAAAAGAATTAACCAGGTCACTTCAATTGGCTTCTATCTACAGAAAAAAAAATCAATCTTTTCTTTTCTCTTTCTGCATGCGTCAGAGAGGAAATCTAACTACTTCCCTGTAACTGCTGAAACTTGACTGGTCCCAGGTTTTAATCAATCCAATAAGACTTAGATACATTAGGGCATGGGGGGAAAAGAGAAAACTTAATTTTTTTTAAGAAATAGAAAACTTAACTGTATCCAACCAGGGACAGACTCCAGAGGATTTTTAAAATTGCTTTTCAGTAAAATGGAAGGAACATGACAAGGTATGCAACAGCGTAATAGCTGAATTTGCTATAAAAGCAGACTGCTGTTCTTCTGTATTAATAAAACTCACAGAGATGTATAACAGCTCCAGGATCCCATTTTCTAAAATGGTAGATGTATAACCATATACAAATTTATTTGTTTAAAACAAATGCATTTACCTGTAACGAATATCTGACTCTCATTCGATGTTGTAAGGTAAATGGGTAAAGGATGTTCAGTGACGTTTCGTACCACTCTCATCTGTGTACACACCAAGTACATCACTAGACAGAAAGAAAGAAATTCAGTTGGTAATAACATATCATTAACAGTATTGCAGTTTCAAAGTTTTCTCATATCAAAGTGGATACTAAAAACAAAGATAGCTTAGCTCCCAGGTTCTACAAACCCTGAAATATATGCTTAATCTTTAACTTCATGTTAAGGGATTGCCATGTGGAATCTAACTGGATTTGCAGCTGTTAAAGATGCAACAAGGATATCCTGATGTGTGTTAAGATTGTGTGTGTGTGTGTACACAAGATTAGGGCCCTAAACGGCTGTGATATGTGATACGATTAAAAGTAAGTTTACTTGAAAGTTATAGATATGTTTTTTTCTCTCTGGAATGTGATATTCAGGTACAGATTGATAATTAGGCATAACAAACCACCCAAATGCCATAACTGTTAACAAAAAACAAGCCCACTCTTTCATTAGGCTGCTTACGAAGTGCACTATAATAATTTGAACTTTCCCAGGGATATTAGTTTAGTACCCTATTTGATTTATGCACAAGAACTTAAGTCTTCATGATTTCCCCAAAACATTCAAAACCATTTGAAATCCACATACTGTGTTAGCCCCTAGTTCCTCTATTCTAGCAATCAGAGCTGGATGTGAAGAGCCTTTTTTTTTTTTAAAATGATTAAACATTTGGAAGGCAAGAGAGAGGGATGCACTGATTCTATATAATGTGGATTAAAGGATTTCCCTGGAATGTGACAGACCTAGGCTCAAGTCTTTGTTCTGAATCTGGCAGAGAAGGGACTTGAAAACGGGTTTCCAATATGAGCTCCAGAAATACTAGGCTATCAGTTATTCTGGTTAGTTTATTGATTGGTCCTTCTCTGTCTTGGTTTTTTCCCATGAAAATTTTGGAAAGGTCTTAATATTACTTTTCTACTATAAACGAAAAAAGAAAGCTTGAAGCTCAGAAGGCTTTGTCCAATGGAAGAACTAACTAGTTCTTTATTATCAGGTACTGGGAAGAAACAGCCAATGCAAACAACTAGAAGTAACAAACAGTTAAAAGTAAGGTACAATTTTACATTTGATTTCACTCATTTTCATGTCAATTAGTTTGAAAAAGAATGTGATGGTTAAAAGAGCTTAACAGCTCTGACACCATTCGTCACAGAAGCCCTACCAATCCATACCCCTTTCCCTTAACCCAGAAACACAGCAGTGACTATTTTATGAGAAACAGCAGTTTATTTCTTTGCCCCTAGCCACGAACTCTCATCATGCTCCCCTGGTTAGAGCTGTAGTCACTCAGATCACTGATGTTTCTGTGATGCATACTAATCACTGTTGGCAAGGGAAAGAAAGTGCTATTGAAGGTGGTACAGTTGGACAAAAAGATGCATCAACTTCAGTCATGTTCAAAGCAGAAAAGAAACACCAAATACTAAATACTAGAGAATATAAAAATTCCTTAAAAGCTGCTGCAGTCAATGACATGAAAACAAGTAATCATACCTAGGAATAAAAATATTCAGTTCAGTCTTTTTAATGAGAGCAGGATAAATAGGATCTGGATTATCTTGACTAAGCAGATGGAAAAGATATTCAGAAATATATTAGCCAAGTCAATAGAATTTTAAATAAAACAGAGTATTAGTACGTTTCCTAAATTGCCTTTCAACATGCTTTATCCTTGACATGAAAGTAGTCCCTGGAGTGAATATGCAGTTAATTCCTAATGTTCAGTCAATTCTTAGACTTTGCTAGGATTGCTGATGTGGGTAAAAAGTGTCATTGCAGTCTTTGTGATATGGACTCTTACCTACTAGGGGTCTAGGCTAAAACCATAGACTTGGTTCATACAAAAAGAAGTCTCAGTCTGCTCTACGTACAAATAAGCAGCTTAAAGATGCACATGCTTCATATCCTGCTACCAATCCATCACTTCAGTATATGGTGCAGTTAGATGAAAGTTTTAGATGAAAATTTTCAAACTTGAGTGCTCAAAAGTTACATGTTCAAATCTCTATTTATGCACAAAATGAAGTGCTTGATTTGTACAGCTGTGCTGCTAGTTACTTCAGCTGAAGTCTTACCAGTATATTCTCTAAAGTCAAACTATGTGCATTCTCTCCATATATGAGAATTCTGACAATAATATGCATTCTAAAAACAATTAGAATAAAAAGAGAGCACAAAAATTCTAAGACCCTATTTTCTAGTGCCTATAGTTCTGCTTCAAAATGGAATGAAGTCAACGGGAAGTCTCCCACTGATTTCATTGCATGTTTGATCAGGCTCCAGGACCAGTGTATCACATGACTGCTGTGTAGCTGTTTCTCCCTGGCTG